TTTTATCGATTAAACACAGTCACCTATGGAACACGATCAGCCCCATATCTGGCTACTAAATGCTTACAACAGTTGGCGAAATCTGAGTTGCAAAAATATCCACTAGGTGCAGCAGCACTAAGTAATGACTTCTACGTAGATGATTGCCTAAGTGGATCAAATAGTCTCCAAACTGCCAAAGATATACAAACTCAGTTAAAAGGTTTGTTGGAATCAGCAGAATTCAAGCTACGTAAATGGTGTGCCAACCATCCGTCACTTCTTCAAAATATTGCAAAAGAAGATCAAGAAGTTGATTTGGACTTTCAAAGTGACGACGCAACATCAATCAAAACATTAGGATTGACTTGGCAACCAAAAGAAGATCAATTTCGCATAAAATTAAAACTGGATCCACTAAAAATCATTACTAAAAGAACCATTACTTCGAACCTAGCCAAAATTTTCGACCCATTGGGACTACTAGGTCCAGTACTCGTAACAGCAAAAATACTAATTCAGGACCTATGGCAACTACAATTAACATGGGACGAAGCAGTACCAACCGAAATATACACTAGGTGGACTACCTTTTATGACGATCTACAAGTACTAGATCAATTTAAAATAGATCGTCATATATTCGGAAAACAGATGCCAGCACTTGAATCAATACAATTGCACGTATTTTGTGATGCTTCACAAAAGGCATACGGAGCCGCAGTCTATGTTCGAGCGAAACTAATGGATGGTCGACTAATAAATCGATTGTTGTGTTCCAAGTCTCGTGTTGCTCCACTCAAAAAACAAACGATTCCAAGGTTAGAACTGTGTTCAGCTCTATTAGGAGCGACATTGATGAAAAAGGTTAAGAACAATATAAATCATGACGTAGCAACATATTATTGGACTGATTCAGAAATCGTTCTCTTCTGGATCAATTCTTCATCAGCAAGGCATCAACAATTCATAGCAAATAGAATCAATGCAATTCAGGAAATTAGCTTGCCTAATCAATGGCGTCACGTAAGATCTAAGGACAACCCAGCTGACTCATTATCACGGGGTATCAAGCCAGCTCAATTACTCGAAAATAACTTGTGGTTATACGGTCCACTCTTTCTTCATGGTTCCGAAAGCAACTGGCCTGGCAAATTCAATAAAACTCTCTGTATTGATCCGGTGAATCCTGAATGGAAACAAACGACAAGGGAAGTGGCCTTAATCTCAACTGATTACGATATCCATTGGATCGATAGAATCAATCACAGGAATTCATTTAGAACTCTACTACATACGGTAGGATATATGCTGCGATTTGTAAATCGGGCAAGGCGAACCAATTTAAGCAATATCACTATGGCTCTAAGCCCTATGGAACTGGAGCTGTCACTCAGGCATATAGTGAAGTACATACAACAGTCAGAAC